TCATAATGCCCGTTGCTTCGTTTTGTGCCTCTCGTCTGGTTTCATGTCACGTTCTTTCCTAATGCCTGCTGTTTGGTTTTACGTCAGATGTGTAATTGTTCTTTGAGATTCTCCCCTGTCCTTCTACCCGACCAGTCTTAAAGAATACTTACCGTTCAGAAATAATTTACAACATCCGAGTGTAACATAATAGAAAGTAGAAATATTAACCTCTTGTTGTTAGTGACTGCTACTGAACCAACCAAAACTTGTGATACAGAGTCGTAAAAAAACTACATACAACACACTGCACTTATGTCAGACATTGTCCACTATCTGAAGTGTGACTACGTTTTCGGGGAATTGATTCTAGTCTTTCTTTAGTCACTCCTTCTCATTATGCTGGTATAAGTTTTTATTGAATGTTTCCTCTAACAGTGACAGGGGTTATAAAAGAGATGTCAAATAACTACAAAGTTTTAGTTGGGAAACAAAAAGGGAAGAATTTGTATATGAGCAGAGAGTATTAATTTGGATCTGAAGGGAATATAAATAAATAGCGTTACTCAGATAAAGTGAATGTACAAGAGCACAGTTACAGAAGAAAGGGAAGAAAAACAATGTCTGAACCGAGAAAAGAATGTTTGCACAGACTGTACAGCCCGTGTGCATGTTATTTTTCAAATAACCCCAATGCATCTTCTGTAAGCATGGGCAAGAGGAATAAAGGGAAAGCGACACGGGGGAGGAGACAAGTTGAACAAGTAATTATGCTCGGGGCCCCCAAAGGAGGCAATTCCTCACTTTGAAAATTAAAATTACAGCGCGCTGGTGGAAAACCTATGAACTACAATCAAGTCACCTCAAGAGAATTCTCAGCATAAGTGGCATTACAGACTGATTCACCCGATCGGTAATTGTATCAACTATTTCACTAACATCTATGAACAAGGAACAGTCACACACAGTTCTACAAGGTAATAAAGGCACTATATGTGCATGCGCATTAATGTTTTATTTAACCAGATTGTCAGTAACGAGAATTGTACAGCGTCGAACAATAGAGTGTTTAATGATAATATTGAAAAGCTATAAAAGGGAGCGGTCGTGGTCTAACTTCTTGTACCATCCCGGCATCTGTATGTAGTGACTAAGGAAAACCACGAAACTCCTCGGTCAGGATAGCCTGGTTTGGGCAAGAGACCTCTCGAATATGAAGCATGAGCTAACCACTCGACCGCGACATTCTGTGATGGTGTGAATATGTGCGAATAAATAAACTAGGCGTAGATGAAAAAAATGATATTAAGATGAAACTTCAAAGAGCAGGGTGTGAGTGGTGGTCTAGATTCGGCTGGCTTAAGAAAGAAGCGGAGCAGGGTGTGAGTTGCGGACTA